TGTTTTTTTGCCCCCATATTTTTTTTTTTTTTTTTTTTTTTTTTTTTTTTTTTATACATCGCTAAGAGTTTTCCAACTTTTTGATGAATTTTTGAGTTGTGTGAAGGTTTTATTTAGGCCTAGAAAAAGGTCCAGCCCAAGAAAAAAATGTTGAGCTTGTGCAATGTTGACTTTGAGTCCAAGAAAAAAACCAATGTTCCTCAAAGTAAGGGACTGCGCTTGTAAAATCTTTGGCTTACACCATTTGTGGAAGTTGCTCGTAAAATTCCCAAAGGAAAACTTACAAGCAAGCTCAAGGAACAGTCAAACTGCAACAAATCTGTTTCTAATGAAATTTGATATCCTAATTTGCATTCTGCTCTTACTCCACAAATTTCACATTTCTGCCAAACCACATTCATGTTTGGTATATCCTGTTTAAGCTTCACAATATACATCCCTCCATTAACCGTGATCATTGTTGCCTCCAATTAAGACAGTACCATCTGCATATACTTATTCTTTACTTCTCTTTGTTGTTGCCAACTCGTCAGTTGTATTAGCGAAAACAACAAAGATGTTTTTACTTTCCACATTTTCATGCATAGCGATCAAAATTTTGATACCGCACAAAAAAAGCATTATTACCACTTCTTAAAAGTGAAATATAGTTTTTCATGCATGGGTTTAAAGTGTGTATATCAAAAATGTGTCAGCACAAATTTTAGAGATATATGGCGGTCAACTGAGAAGATGACTTGGTGGTTTGGGCCCACCAGAGATAATACAAGAGCCCTTTATTGGCCCAGTTCCCGCAGCCCATGAGAAAAATAGTCACAAGACTGATAGAATTCAGCTACCCTCCTAAAATTTATGAGCACAAAGCTTCGAGGGGACGAATCCGCCGGCATTCCCAACCAAGTACGGCGAACGATGAAAACCGCCCGAACCTTGAGTAGTCAACCAAAACTTCCCGGCCCAACCTTCGGCCATAGCGGCCTAGGCAATGACCCAGTCGATTGTTCCCTCGGGCTCCTAGTGTGAGGTCGCTCAACACGAGGCCTACCCTGTCGAACGCCATATCTGCCTCCCGGCCCTATAAATTATGTACTAACCAAAATACCCGTTGTTGTACCCACGTTACTAGGGATACAAAATGCAATCTTATAACCCTCATTCCTATAAATAGGAGTTTATTTTGTGAATAAAAGATGCGTAATTTTACTGTTAATTATCAAGCTCTCTACTTTCTTCCTCTCTTTCGCACTCTATTCCTTAGATGTGTCTCTTAGACAATTTTGGATTCAAAAGTGTCAAAGTGTTGTATGAGTAAATATGAAAGTTCAGGCATGAGATATAAATATATAAAAATTGTGTGCTAAGTATGTCAAGGTCCCCCGCCCCCAACATAAAAACCTGTTGAAAAGGCACGTGAAAGGGCCAGAGAAAAATGGGTCCCCCTATGGACGTTAGTTAGTATTATCAGACCAATCACTGCAGTTTTCCAGCAGCCAAATGCATTCACATGTCTGGAAATCAGAGTGATGAACTAGGACAGGGGTGGTTTGGTCACATCATATATATGTAACTTAGAAACATACTAAAAAATGACTAACCAAACATTTAAAATCACTGCAACTGATGAAAATCTGACCTACATGTGATTTATCCATGACAGCACCTAAAACATAGATTAAGAAACACCTCAAAAGCTATCAGATCTTGTCTTTCATGCCTCGTATGGAAGAAAAAAAAGGCACTGAAATGTTGGCTGCCTGAAAACTGACAGAACAAAAGAAAAAGCAACAAACATAACTACTAAAAGCATAGTTTTGAATTCATTGACGCAATTGCATCAATTGCTAGCGGTACAGTTTAGGTGATATTAAATAACCAAAACATGCATATAAATCGAGACAAAAAAGAGATATTTGCAACGTTCAAAGCTTTGCATTCATGAATGTAACAGCAATACATATTTGTTAAAAAGATGCTAAGAGAATCAAGTCCAAAACCAAACTGACCTGAATGTGGCTGCGGTGAGCAAAGTTTGACACTGCCCTGTGCTCTGACAAACCCTGTAGTTCCCTCTGTCTTTCTCGAACAATCCTCGTGAGTAGATCTAGCCTTGCCTGCCTTCCTCGAATCCTAAGCAAATCCCGTCGGACATGCTCTGGCTGACCATCTTCGTGATCGGTTGCTGACTCCTCCCTCTCACTCTCACGCCCCTCCCTCCCGCTATCTTGTGACTCCCTTTGCTGACTGTTCATCTGCACCCACTCTCTCACCAGTCTGACTCTCTCCCGTTCAGTTTCGCCGAGCCACTCTGCCCTCGGAGTCTCATTCCTGGTCGATACGCGTGAGGAGCCATCAGCAATTCCACTCTCATTCATCCATCCACGCGCAATTTGCCTTACCCTTTCCCTTTCAATATCCCCAAGATCAGGAGACTGCTCTCTGCTGGATCGCCGCCCATCCTCATCCCCCAAATAAAGATCGTGTCTTCTATTCACCGTATGAAAAGCGCCCTGAGCCCATTGGCTGAATTCACTGTTGTCGCTCTCACTGGCCTGGCTCTCCGGCGCGTGCCGAAAGCCAGAACCGGCCGCACCCCGCCTCGTGCTCCTCCTGTCCCTCGCCGCAGCTTGGACCTCCAGTTCCCTCCACCGCTGAAGAATGGATGAAGCCCGGGCAGCCACGGGACGTTCCGCCGATGACTGCGATCTCCGGGACTCACGGAGAAACGAAGAATCCAGCATCGAAACCGTATGCAGGCCCGCAAGAGCCATAAGCTCTGACTCACGGTTCCGGCGCTCAATAGTAGTGATCATCTCCTCCGCCTGGCGAGCGACCCACCGACTGAGAATCCGGGAGTGCCTGCGCGCGGCCGCAGAAGACTCGGCAATATCATCACCCTCAAGGTCCGAGCGACGCCGACGTCGAACAAGCTGGTCCACCACATCACCAGCGATGACACCGGCTTCCTCCTCCTCATCAGTGCTCCGGACAGCGCTGCACGAAGCAAGCGCAGTCATACATCCATCGATACGACCTCTGACCAAATCCTCCAGCCCCCGCCGAAACTCCCGACCTGCATCCTCAGTCTTCATACGGAAAATCCTCAACCCGTTCTCCGCTCATATCCCCCATCAAGAAACCTAGCTCGATAAACTCGGATTTCACTCCATCCCCTAATACCATCCAGACCAAAAATCAATCCCTCCACAACTTCCTTCAACAAACCTAGCATTTAAGGAACGGCGAAACAAAAGTCATGGAGAGAGAAAGGGAGGCAGTGTAGAGAGAGAGTGGGAATTATTTTTCCTGCATCGTCTTCTAGCTCTTGGAGTGTGGGCGGGAGACGGGACGTACCACCGATCCGCTGTGGAACAGTCGGGAAGAAATGGCGAAGCTTGCGATTTTATCGGGAAAGGAAAAATGAAAAAGAGTATTGCCACGTCAGATCCGGATGGGACACGTGGATTTTCTATTTCTCGGCTTCGCATTAAATCTGACGGTCAGAAAGCGGTCGGACTGTGTTTTGGAGATTCCCAGCATTCGGATATGGCGGGAACAGTTTAAATAATAGAGATACATTTACAGTACAAATTCATAACTCGATAATGTTGGCTCATATTACTAAATAATTAAATTTGATTACTTTTTTAAAAATTAGGAGCCTTCATCACTATAAAACTAATTAGTGGCAAGATTTCAATGTTTTTTTGTAAAATTTGTAAAAAGTGAGAATAAGAGAACGCGTCTTTGCAAGATCACATTGATGAGCAGCATAACAAGCATAAATTCAGTTGATTAGTCGGGCTAAGTAGAATCGTCTCTCATGTGGATTTGTGTGACAACGTCTTGGGGAAAGAATTCCTCACTCAACATCAAAAAAGATAGAAGACTACTTCCCCGAGATAACCGGATTCTATCGAAATACACGATCAAATAAGCCAAATTAGTTCACCGCCCATACGGAATGATGTATTAATAACCAAAAGGGTTATTATAGTATTTCCCAACTTCCAGCAATCAAAATATGATAAGTCTAGTGAGAATGGTTTCGACTAATCGACGGATTTATTGTATTAGTTATAATAAGCATCACATGATACGTTGACTACATGACGCGGCAAAATAAGGACATATGTATAGGTAATTCTCAACTTTGAAGTGCAAAAAGCCAACATTCTAACTAAGGAGGATATCCCAGTGTTGTCTTCCCATTAATTGGAGACACGACATGGGACCAAAAAAACAAGGCCAATGTCTGGTCCATGTCGTGACACCAAGACAAATAAGATGAATTTGCCTCAAGTGGAAGCAAAATCCCCTCGGGGTCGCAAGGCTAAAATGCACTGGGTCCTAATCCCATGGATCTGGCATTATATCGTTGAAAAGGTGGCAACAAGTGCCATGCGAAATTGGACTAGAAGGCCCCGTGCCATAGTGGAAGCAATAAGTGCAACTAACAACAAAATGAATTAGTGGACAAGCACCAAGAAATGACACTGAGCACAGTTCACACCCAAGAAAGAGTAAAATTGTCTTGAAATCCCTGAAGGACGACATCGTGACGCTCGGTAAAATTAAAGCACTATGCACACGAGGGTGCTTAAAAAAATATGGTTAATGTAAAGAAAAGCAAATAACCTAATCTAGGCATCTAACAGCAGCGTAGCCTAGTTCATCCAACACAAAAGTTTTCTTGGAATGGAAAAAAAATATCACCTACGCAAAGTTTGATGAAATCCCTTTGCTCGGAAGCTCGTGCAATGACTCCTCTACATTTTTGAACGAAAGAAGAACCATCACCGGCTAAAGAACTTGGCCAAAATTGAAAGGACTTGAGAAGGAGGTGTGCAAGAAAGCTCGCACACACCAAAATCCAATGAAGAGAGGCAATGACTCACATATCTCAAAAAAAAGCTTGGGAACAAACTACCTACTTTTAACTTCAAGAAGGCAAACCCTAAGGTAGCCACATGATGCACATTATAAAGCAACCAAGTTGGTGTGACGATGCGGCGTTGCTGACACAATGAATATCCAGCCAGCAAGAAGGCATGGCAATCTTCAGTTCCCAGGCCACGGGCACCACAACACTACTATCAGAGAGTCATGGTGCCTTGGCATTGCATCGAAGCGTTACAGTGGGGTGTTGTGATGTTGATAAAATGTCAACACTTAGTCCCTCAGAAACTAACGAGCATTTGATAGAGCCTCAAGGCTTCGAGTCACTGTTATTTGCTTTTCACATGTTGCATCTCGGGACTCGTATGAGTTACATACAAGTTTTCAATCTAACATTGAGGCTTTCTACGGAGCCCCGAGAGCTCCCAAAGTGGGAAAAATGATGTTGATCACGTATAACATGGAGAGCATCAAATAAATATGTGACAAAAATATGCATCAGTTTCATTGAGTTCAAATGGTATGAGTTGTAGATGCCTCTAATATATGTAACACGTGACACATTCTTCATATTTAAAAAGGAAAATACAAGTATAAAAGATATGAAGGAAAAATAGTGATCGTGTGATCCTAAGAATTAGGCAGCCATCGCCCCTGACCACGTCACTGTTTGTGTTTCCGCTTGCTCCTCTATAGCCAAAGCCTTGAAGAAGATATTGGAGCACTTTCTCTCATCTCTCATAGACGTTCACTAGCCAGCCAGCCAACATATCCTTCTAAACCTCGATACGCTCCTGTGAACTAAAAATGCAAATGTCGCATGAGGTCATCCAATCCGCTGTTGATGTTGGTGATTTCATCCCTCACCCGCATAAATTTTCAAAGAGGTCATCGTGAAATTCCTCCAACAGGGTGAACCAAGCGCACATACATATTGACCTCCAGACCATGCATACCATAGATGTCAAACTAGTCTTGGATGTCTTGTCAGCATGATCACTACTATTCAAAATGGTCCAGGGAATACGACTGGGCCATGTTCTCACCAAAGAAGCTCCTTGACATGATATCGTTAGCGGAGACTTGCAACAACCAGAAATCAATGTTATAGAATGGTTATGCGGCGTTTGGCTGCACTTAGTATTTAAGTTAAATAGGATTCACTAAAGCTGATAAATTTAGATTTATTAAATCCAGTGATGTTAAATATGAAATTATGGTTCCTATGATTTCATTTAAATCCATAAAAAAATTGTATGGAATGTTTGGCATTTTATTTGAGAATTTAATACTTTAGCATGTGATCTCCGTAAATCTATCTTCGATTTAATAAAATATAAAAATTATAAAATACATCTTAATTAAAACTTATTCACAATATATATTATGATCCAATTTTTCTTCATAAAATTTTGAAGAACAATTTTAAATACAAGAATTTGACTAGAAATAAGTGCAGCATGGGAATAATTAATCACCATCAATAATTAAATTCATCTTAAAGTATTTAGTATATCATAACTAAAATTAATAAAACAAAAAATGCCACTATTTAATATTATTATAATTAAAATAAATATTACAATCCACCATTAAATAATTTATTTTTATTTTTTTTATTATTGAAAATAAGTTAAAAATGAATTTAAATTCAATAAGTTCATCAAAATATGCGATCAATCACTTGCTAACTTATCTTAGACCTTCTCTTTTAATATTTAATAACAATATAGGCCCTGAAAATATCAATTTTCTTTAGAAAAATATTATATATATATATATATATATGAAGTGACAAATAGCACCATCCAAACATTTCTACATTATATCGGCCCTACCTTCAAAATTTATCAAATAATATGATCAATTATAAATACTCATAAAAACATAAAAAAAGATTTACATTCATACCACACAATTCCCATGTATTTACAGTTCTAACCTCCAGACTTTGCTTTTACGTCTTTAAAATTTAAACAAATTATGCAACTCTACGGTCCACTTTTTAAAAGATAATAATGGTGGTGTTTTTATATGAATGTAAACAATAAAAGTTTGGGTGAGTTATATAAATACATAAGAATTGTTGGGTAAGTATGTAAATAAGCAATATGTCAATAATTTGTGCATAAAAAACAGCAAAAAATAATTGCTCAATCATACATCAATTCAAACATTTATTTACTTGTTGTCGGTGTCCATTTATAGCAAATAATAAGATTTATATTCGCCTATTATTAAGGCCCCGATGTTTTGTTTGGATGTGTATGAACCATGAATGGGGATTTTGGTAATATGTGTATGGTTCATTCATCAAAACGAATGATTCTTAAACATAAAGCGACTTGATTGGACTATTCATTTAATGAAAGTGATTACTTTAAATGAAAGATTAATTAGAGGATTAATCTATCGTATTATTGTGTTTGTAGTTCTTAATCATGTCATTATATTTACGTGGATGATGGTATTAGAGAGTTAGTATATATATATATTTTTTCAATAATTGTGAAAATAATGAGGTGAAGGTCATTTATGCACACAAAAGAGATGTGTTGCTTCATGGTGCTTCATGATTTTAAATAAATTTATAAAAATATTGAGTAGAGTGTCAAGATAGTCCTCGATTATTTATGTGATCCGCTTTTAGTCTCGAAGATCATAAAAGTGTTCTTCGATTATTTTAAAATGAGCTCTGATTGTCATATATATAGGGATTGTTCCAGCCTCAATTTAGGAGAGAATGGACTATTTTGATAATTTTATAAGCAATGGGACTAAGATGAACAAATGTAAATAGTGGGGACTATTTTGGCACTTTACTCAAATAAAATTTGAGCTTCATTTTGCTTAGATGGCCCAATCGAATTAAGGAGTCGTTCGGGGCGGCAGTACCATCGTGTTTCGCAATTTGAGAACGCGGTATGGTGCTTGTTTGCGGCATTCTCTCTGCGTTTCCGGATACGCGCGGTCCAACTTCTTTAATAAAATTTAAGGATCACAGTTGCAAGATTGACCCCGCGGCCCGCGTTCCTTCAAAGCGTATTACCGCTGAGTGCCCCGATCCCTCTCCCGATCCTGCGCCCTTGCCCTAGCTTTGTGATCGATCTCCATTATTGAACTCCCTCACCCGCCTGTTGTCTACCCTTCTCCTCTCGCTTCTCACTCAGTGCCCCGGTTACTCTGTAAATGCTCGTTCTCCCACAACCGCGCCCCTCTCACCTGCCTTTCTCCTTCCCCTTCTCACTAGTTCTCAAATTACTATAAGAGAACGCGTTTTCCGGCTCCATGTAATCTCATAGTTGTTGATGGATTCATTACTTACATCGTGTTGATTTTAGCTCTCTTTGTTTGATTTTTTTGCGAGATTTTTTTTCTTCATGCGAAATGTTTCAAAATTTTCACGAGATTTTTGGCTCTTTATTCACTGATCAATTAAAGAAGATTTGTTTTGGTTGAGCTGTTCGAATTGCTGC